ATATCTAATACAACCCAAAACCTGGTGTATTAAATGCACGAGCTACTAGAATAGTACAAATAAAGGTCTGAATAAAATATGAAGTTGTTTGAGAAAAAATACATAGCTAATAAAAAGGAAGGGGACTATAGGGGCTGCGGACGCCGAGCAGCTGTACCTCAAGTCTCCACATTGCTAGCCAACCCGAACACTCTAATGACTGTTGCTAGGACCGACTCTAAAATATGCACAAGAAGTGCAGAGTGTAGTATGAGTACAATTGACCCCATGTATTTTGTAGGTGCCGAGCCTAACCTCAACGAAGTAGTGACGAGGCTAAGGCGGGTCGCTTACATTATAACCTGTACGCAGTATAAAATAAAGATAGGAAAGGAAAATACAAAGCAAAATAAAGCAGCTAACTGAAGAAAATAGCTAAATCCTCGGAGAAAACTAGTGAAGGTCAGAATTACCAATCCTTAGAGTTTCATATAAACAATACCGAAATCAACACGGCACAAGGAAATAGAAATACATAGATTGTTGCAGTGCACAACCCGATCCCACCGTACAGCACAATCCTCCTATATTCCACTGTAGCAATATCAACAATCATATATATATATATATGTGTGTGTGTGTGTGTGTGTTGCGGCGCGCAACCCGATCCCACCATATAACAAAATCAATATCATAATTCACCATTATTCCATCGTATCAATCCAACCTTATTTCACTTGTTGCAGCGTGCAACCCAATCCCACCATATCAGTACAAGTTCACCCTTATTTCACCATATTATTCCACCCTTATTTCATCTATTGCGGCGTGAAACCCGATCCCACCATATCAGTATCAAATATTCAATGAATACAATCAAATCATATCACGAGAACATCTACGATTAATGGATATGAAGCTAAATGAGAAAGGAACCCTCGTGCCAACTTGGGAATTCTCGTATGTAATATTAAATGGCAAGACAAGTCCGGTAAATAAAAATTAAAAAGTACAAGTAAGTCAATTAAGGCAAACAGTAGCGAGTCATGAAAGCATGGTAAAGTCTAACATTTTTAACACGAGCAACAATAATTTACAATTAGCAAATAAAGCATGGGAGGCATTTAAAGCACATAACAGTTAAGGCATGGAAGGAAATAATTAAGGAAAATCGAAAAAATAGGGAAACAAGTAATTCGGCGGCGTATAAGCACTCGTTGTCTCGCATATACGCCGCAACACATGAATTTCACATAACACATAGTCTGAGGGTTCCTAATTCCCTCAAATCAAGGTTAAACCCAACACTTACCTTGCTCCAAAATCGACTCAAACCTCAACCACGGCTTTGCCTTTCGAACAAGCCTCCGAACCAATCAAATCTAGCAATTTAAAAACCAAATGATTCAAAATAGGCATTAGGAACTACCCACGAAAGAAAGAGGTTCAATTTAGGCTATTATTGAAAAAGTCAACAAATGTCAAATCCCGGGCCCGCTTGGTCCAAATCCAAAATTCGGACCAAAACCCGATTACCCATTCACCCCCGAGCCCGGTTATGTAATTTTTTTCGAAATCCGACCTCAATTTGAGGTCTAAATTACAATTTTATAAAAATCTCTAATTCTACCCAAATTCCCAATTTCTACCGAGAAAATTCTAGATTTTAGGTTGAAATCTAATGAAATGTAATGGGTAATTGAAAAAAAAAGTAGGTTAGAATCACTTACCAACGAATTGGGGAAGAAGAGTTGTTGAGAAAATCACCTCTTAGGTTTTTAGGGTTGAAAATTGGGAAGAATGAGAAAAATCCTGTCTAACTCAGCTTTTACCCAGCTGCAGATGTCGCAATTGCGATGTCGTGTTCGCAATTGTGAACATCACAATTGCGAGAAGAAGGTCGCAATGTGAACTCCTCTCAGAGACACAGCCATCGCAAATGCAATGTATTGGTCGCAAATGCGAACCCATCAGCCCTCGCAAATGCTGACCTATCTTTCGCGAATGCGAAGATTATCAAGATCATACTGAGTCACAAATGCGACTCTGTTTTTGCAAAAGAGAAAATGGCAAGTTCGCAATTGTGAACTTTACCTCGCAAATGCGAGGATCCCCCAGCCTACCCAGGTTTGCAAATGCGAGATTTGCAACAAACACCGGAAGCAAAAGGCATCATCTATGATTCATATCCAAAATCCTTTTGTAGCCTATCCGAATGCACACAAGTCCAAAAACCTCATAAAAACTCACTTGCGCGATCAAGTCGCCCAAATAACACCTAGAACTACGAATCAGACACCAAATCAAATGAAATTTTCAATGAAACTTAAGAACTTCTATTTTAACAACCGGACGTCCGAATCACGTCAAACCAACTCTGTTTTTCACCAAATTTGCAGACAAGTCATAAATTTAGTAATGAACATATACCAAGCTCCGGAACAAAAATTCGGACCCAGTAGTAATAAAGTAAAATTTTGGTCAAATCTTTAAATTCTTTAAACTTCAAATTTTAGACAAAATGCGATAACTCAAGCTAGAGACCTCCGAATTCGATTCCGGGCATACGCTCAAGTATCAAATCGCGATACGGACCCACCGAGACCGTCAAAATATGGATCCAGGTCCGTTTGCTCAAAACGTTGACCAAAGTCAACTCAAATGGACTTTTTAAGGCACAGATTCACATTTTATCAATTTTTCACATAAAAGCCTTCTGGAAAAAAAACATGGACCGCGCACGCAAAATCGAGGAAGGCATAAAGAAACTATTGGAGGCTCCGAAACACAGAATTAAAGCTTAAAACTCAAGATGACCTATCGGGTCATCATACTAGGACTCCAATCCGAACATCCACACATGTGTAATAACAGTATAAAAACTTGTTTGCAAGCTCAAATCATCAAAATAACATCCAAAATCAAGAATTGATCATTAAACTCAAGATTTTCAAAGTTTAAACTCTATTTTCTAACTTTTCACATAAAGCGTTGAAACGGCCTTGGATCACTCGGGACCCCAACCAAATATGCTTACAAGTAAAAAAATCATCTTATGAACCTATCGGAGTCGTTAAAACACCGATCCGGGGTAGTTTATCCGAAATGGTGACCATGGTCTACTCTATCCATTTTCAAAGTCAAAAATCACATTTTCTTTAAAATTTCATATATAAACTTTCCGAAAATAGATACGAACCACGCATGCAAGTCATAAATTATCAAATTGAGCTTTGACTGTCTTTAAACACAGAAAGAGAAACTAGTACTCAAAACAGACTGATTGGGTTATAAGAGTGAGAGTGATATTTAGAGAACCTCTAGTCTTTTCTTGTGCTAGTATATGATAGGCTAGCTACACATAGACTTTAATCATAAAGTTCAAAATAGAAGAGGTCACACGGAATGGAGTGTTCTTAGAAATTTTAAGGAATAGATGCAAATTTCACGTGAAAATCCAGTGATAAGGCTTCCAAATAGAAACTTATGATATCTATAGTAATCTCATAAAATCAAATAAGAATAATTACAGAGATGAAAGTGATGGAATACAGGTATGAAAAACGGAGCTAGAGCGTAATATAGGGGTTCAAAAACTTTGATCAGAATCATTATTAGGGCATCTCCAACCCTCTCTCATTTCTTCATAATGGGGGCATTTTTTGTCATAATGGAGCTCCAATACTCCTCCATTTTTGCCTCCAAAATGGGGGATGAATAGTGTTAATCCAAATATGGAATGACACTATTCATCTCCTCCATTACTATTCATGCTTATTTTATTATTTAACTCTTTTAATTTATCTCTTTATACATACCTAATTATGTTTATGTAATATCCTTATAATATTAATTTTAAATCTTAACTTTGGCATATAATTTTGATAAATTAATTTTCGTGCATTTATTATTTTTATGTAAAATTGTAAGTTAATTTTATTATAAGTTATAGTTGTACAAAAAATATATAATCATCTCAAAAAATGAATGGTGCAAATATAAAATATTAGATGTTGCTAAAAGACAATAATATAATATTGAAAACAGAGAAGAATATAAAATGGAATATTCTTTTTTTGAGAAAAAAATGGAGTAATAGTTGGAGTAACTTTACTCCATTTTGGAGTTTACTGCATTTTAAAGGAGAAAATGGAGACAAGGGTTGGAGATTGCCTTAGGGAAACACAAAAATAAATTTGAAAAATAGAGAAAGAGGAAAAATTATGAGAGAGAGAAGCGGTTTCAATACTGTCCAACTCGGACGTCAAGCGTAAAATCAAGAACTATTTGAAAGTCGTTTTGTACGTTTCTGAAAACTCGATAGCGTTCCACGTCAAAAATAATAAGTAACGAATTCATTTGTCAAGAGTATAATTGTGTAAAGAATTTGTTCGTAAGTGTTATAATAGTATCTCTAATCTTGAAATACTTTTTGCATGTGATATCATAGATTACTTCTTTCTTCACGTGTAAATGAAAGTTTAATGATCATATATAAACCACATAAAATCATTATCTTTCAAATATATTTCTCCTTTGTCATCCAAAGTATCCTTCCTGTAAGTTTGTTTTGTCAAATTCCATACCATGACTTCGATCCTAAATCCTATAAAACTCCTGGCTATCTTTGTTATTTGGTGTATGAACGAAAAAGAAGTACACGAGTGATAGCCATTCTGTTTGTACGTATTAAACAGAATGGTTATTTTTAGGCCTATCACTGTGTTGTACGTATTATACACTTATATGTTGCAAAAGAATGACATTTCTAAAGGATTCAACTTTAATTCATTGACAATATAATTTATTTTATATATAACATTACCTTTTTCATATTCTATTAAGATTTTCCTCCTCTAGATTTTAATCAGTTGAGAAAGTAGCTATTTTTCAGGTATACTACCATTTTAGTGGACATTCCTTCTGAACCGTGGAGAGGGAGAGTTAAATCGAGTCTTCGATGCCAAGTCCCGAGTCCAAACTGAAATTTACAAGTAGGGCGAGAGAGTACTTTTATTAAATAGAAAACAATAAACTCGATCCTTTTCGTTGCTTTCATTCATGAGTTTAACTTCTGAAGACGACATTAATAAACAATTTCCTCGGGCAAATTCACATCTCAAAATAACCTTTAAATCTTCTTGTTAATATACAATAACAAGGATTGCGGACAATTCATCATGGATGCACCACATATCTAGAAGGAAGTCTTTAAACACTATGTACAATTATCACTGGTCATGAAATCGTCATCAGAGTAATTGGTGCTTGACATGTTACGTGCAGCATCTATCTGAAATACAAAAATAAAACAAAGGAAAGATATTGAAGAAGGTAACATTCATAATCGTCATCTTACCAAGCCACAGAGAAAAAGAAAGCATCATTTCTGCATCCCTTCTTCCAGAGGAAAGAGAAAAAGAAACAGCGCACAGATTAAGAGAATAAGAAAATAAAACCTCCCCAAAAATTTACCATAGAAAATAGTTCTTTGAAATAATAACAAGGACAAAGCCTATGATTTTCTGTAGACCACTTGAGTTGGGGTCCTTTTTCCTACTATACGCCTCTAAACATACACACAAAAGCATAGGCAGAAAAGTGACGACTCATGCGCTCACGGGCATGGAGATCTCTATTTCCGCTAAAAGCCTTACAAGGTTAATTGACTAATAGAGAGGACAAAGCTATTTCTAATGTATGTTAAGTTTTAGAGATTCGCATAATATACTAACCGAAGGAAGTTGCCTGCAAATCAGGTGCTACTGCTACCAAGATCAAAGTCCATAGTGTAATCGTATTCAATTGTTGGAATCACGGAAGCCATAAACTTCAAGAATAGGAAGAGGTACCTGTCAATGGTGCTTGAGATCAACCTCCAGGATGAGACAAAAAGCACATGCAAGTAAAAAAAACTAAAAGGAGATACATATTAAGGGCATTCATGTGTTTCTATTGTTACGCCAAATATGTCTCAAATGTCAGGTCTACAAACAAGCAACATTTTACTCCCATGAAACCTGCTCAACTTTGAGGACAAAGAAAGAATCAGTGGCTAGAGCAAGATCATCACAATCATTACCATTGAGTTTATTTCTTTCTTTCTGTGGCTACAGGTGGAACTATTGAGAAACACCGTAGATGGTAACCTTAGGTTAAGTAGACGTAAGAGTATATGCCCTGTGAGTGCACTTCCCATAAATCATACTAATGATGATAAAGTGAGATTTGATGGATTGTGGCACCTAAATGCAGCAATGCAAATATTCAGGCTCAGCTAAGTTTAGGACCTGTATGCTAACCAGAGCTTGTCCAGCTAACCCATAAGGGATCTCTCAGTCAAGGAAATAGTGTCACAATATTGTTATGTGATAGAAAAATACCTACAAAGATGAAAGGCAAGCCGTGTAGAATGATAGTGAGACCAACAATAATAAATGGGAATGAATGTTTGGCCTTTAGGGACTAATATATCCACAAGATGAGTGTTGTAGAAATGGAAATGCTAAGTTGGATATCAGGTCATGCAGAATTGGACAAGCTTTGAAATAATAACATTTGGCAGATGGTGCAAGTCGCACACAGGATAAAATGAGAATTGGTTTAGATTGTCTGATCATGTCCAACGTAGACCTCGAAATGCACCACTTATAAGTGTGTGTGTGTGACAATATGATGATTGAAGGTCATTAAAGAAACAAGATAGACCAAAAACTACATGGAAGCTATAATCTCTCTGGATCAATAGATATTAAACCCAAAAAAAAAACATAAGACAATTCAACCAAAGAATCCATGTAATTTAACTCAGTAAACCATATAGGAATAACTGTAAAATCTATAGAAGTCCTAATTTGTTGTAAACTTAGTATTGGAATGAAATTGACCTGAATATAAGGGCAAAGATATAGAAGATTCACATAACGGACATCAATTATGTGGAATTGAAGCACAGTTAATTGATCGATTGATATTCTCTAATATGCAATGATGAAACAATGTAGATAAAAAATGTGGTGTCAATGAAACAAGAGCTACATTGCTTTTTAGAACTAGAAGAGTATCATTAAAAACTCTTGCTTCCAACTATACTATTGATGTCAGTATTATACTCCTACATTTGTAATCAAAAATTTGATGTTACTAGTAAAAGCTAGATCGAGAAGGTATGGGTTAAAACAATGTCTCACAGTTCTACAAAGCATGTCAAGACGAAGACTAGAAATCATAATTATAGTGCATAATTTTTTCCGATAAAAGGTCTAAAGATTTCTTAATAATGCAAGTACTCTGTTTCTGATCATATGAATTTCCATTTGTATATTCTGCTACCGTGTCTATCGTTGCTAAAATATGGTCCTGCAGCTGTATAAAACCTTCCCATGGTAGACAGGCGAACTATAAAGAAGAATTACTAGATCAATACAGCGAGCTAATCAACTTTCAGGGGAGACACCATTGTATGATATCACTAAAATTTGAATGTCAAAGCATCAACTTCCTTAAAAAATTAGATGACAAAATGAACAAAATCTCCATATCATTGTAGCTAGATAGTATAGCTCTTTTAAATGTAACAACAAAATTTTCATGTGCATGCTAACTTCACAACTAAATACATCTACGAGTTGTAAGTATCCCCAAATAACCAAATTAGAATTCAGACAGGTAATATATGAGTGCGAATATGCATACTGCTGATTGAAAAACACAACGATACGACATGAGATATTAGAGTTTACTTGTCAACTTCAGGTTCAACTCCTCGCGACATGAGAACATCAATAATTTTCTTCATCACAGCCCCGTGCCGACAAGGATGTACTGAAGCATGTTTCCCTGGAAGATGTGGATGGTCTTCAATGGTCACCTGAGTTAACGATGTTGGGAACAAAGATTAAAATGAACACCGTCATTCAAAATAATTGCAGTTAAAAAGGAAATATATAGGGTTAGAAAAAAGAAACTTTAATAATCTGGGTGATGGCCCATTCAGTTGTTCAGTTGACATCTACAACTTGGTTCACTAACAAATATTTTGGTCAGTTAAAATGGGCACTGCTGGCCTTGACAGGGTCACTGGTGGGTTCAGTTTGTACCAAATGGATTTGATTTTTACCAATTCGCGAAATCAGTTTTGGAAATTTTTCAAAAATCAAGCAATAGCTTGGGTGAAAATTAGAAAATCTCAAGCAGAAGTCTGGATGTTCTTCACAGATAATATGTATCAACTCAAAGCAAGCATTCAAGCTCTATTATGTCTACGAACCAGAAAGAAATGAACCTTTGAAAAAATTTATTCTGGTCAAAATATGTAAAACAAACCATTTCTCAGGCCTCATTTCAGTTGTATTTCTTAGGAAATGGCTCTGTGTCTGTGTCTGTGTGTGTGTGTGTGTGTGAGAGAGAGAGCGAGCGTTCATTGCCAATCCAATTAGACAGCACTGATCTGAGCACAAGGAAGATGGCAAGTGGTTGTAGTGGGAGAAGGAAGTAAAAATATAAGCAATAAACTTTTGACAAATTATGCCACATTTATTTTTTACTTTAAAATCTTAATTTAACTAAAAGAACTAAAATGATATTAAAACAATAGAAAAGTTGATAAGTTGGATAAAAAATGCATGCGCTTGGACTAGGCCTCCAGATGCCAATTAGCAAGGAAGAGTAACCACCTATAACTGAACTACCAACCCATGTTTGATATGACGGAATGTTCTATTCATCAGTTTTTCATAAAATTCGCAGTAATTTTCAAAAACCCCACATTGTAATACTGATCATTTCATAGATTAAAATTGAAATGAATAGAATTTTGAAATATATAAATGAATAATCTGAAGTTTTTTTTTTATCAAGAACTAAATGAATAATAAGTTATTTCATTTGGTTAGTTTCATCGTTTATAACTGAATCACGCACAGCCCTGAGACTGGCTGAGCAAACGGCAATACCGTCGTGGTTAGAACTACTCAAAGAATTAGTCAAAAGGAGTAATCATCCAACTTTGCATGTGTTGTACAGTTGTAATACTTGGAGCCTAACCACTGTAATTTCATTCACAAACAAACTACAGCATGGAATGACTTATTTAAGCTCGTCTTCAAGTAGCATTTAGACCTAAAAGATGTGTCTCACCGTTTTGCGTGCATGGTCTTGACTGACATCCTCAAGTACGAGCTCTGGTTGCAAAAGCATCCTTGACTGTCACAAAAAATCAAGAATAGTTCACTGTGTTGCAATCGGATCATGAAGTTTCCTCAAGGACCAGGATGCATGTCTAACAAAGAAGAGAATCTTCTTTCTCCAAAAGCAACTAGTATATATACTCATGCAGAGGATATTATTAAGAACCTTAAAAATAGACACTTCCATAAATTTCAACAAGTGGAAATTCATATCGTTTTGCAGATCTTGGATATTGTAAATAGAATTAGAATAAGGAGAAGAATACATATTTTGCACATAAATTATGCGAAATAAACACAAACTATAATTTGTGTAATATAAAGAAGAAAAACAATCTCATGCTAAGTCTCAAATTGACTTAAGCTGGACAAAACATTACCTTATCATATTTGGATAAGAGTGAAAAGAATAAAACACTATCAGAAGATCTGAGTTCATCAAACATATATAAAAAGTGATATCAGCAAGAATAACATAAATGGCATCGTCAGCTTTTTAAGCTGACAGTCCTTGACCTGAGGTAACAGGAGTAAAGCCGACACTCTCAAAAGTACATTAGTAAATCTATTTACAAATCCCAAACCCAAAAAAGAGACAACCAAAAGATCTAGGTGAATTCTGGTTGTATTATCCATTTCTTCAGCTGTATGGTTACTAAGTTGTTTGTTTCACGAATATGTCAGGCCATCTTGCAACTAATTCCATCATAATAGCACAAGTCAAAAGTGTAGTCATTATGCAATTATATATTTAAGGCAATTATAATTTTTATTTTGGCTGACCTCATCATATCCAGTGAGCCATACACGAGGCGTTTGATAGTACTTGTCATACCTGCAAAAGGTACAGATGGACATCTGTCAAAACACTTAATATATACTTCTCTTCAATGGGAAGCGCATGAAATAGCCAACATACAAAATCTAATGAATGAAGAGCACTTACGTGATGCTGATATCATATGTTCGTGTTCTTAGAATGTTGTCATCATCCGGCTCATGAGCCACAAGATATGTAGTCTGAAGGGTAGCCTGCAAGAAATTATGAGATGTTAACCATTTAGGTAATGTATGTAGATGGAATAATCTCAAAGCTGATAATTTACTGAGATCCAACCAAATTGAACTTTGTACCAGAACAAAGCACAGAGCAAAGTATTCTTTTTCTTCTATTTTGGAAAAGAATGGAAAGGTAGTTAATAGACAGTGAACTGAAAGATAGGACAGCATCCAGAAAGCATAAACAAAATTTTCTTACATATAACTGTATCAAATAGAATATACACACACACATAAACACGTATATACACACAAACATACATATCGATAAGGTAAATAATTTTATTAATAATGAGAAAATCTCCCGTATACACATAAAGGCAGTACCCCAAAAAGTAGAGAATCTACACTATAAAATTTTCTTATATATATTATCAGGGGGCAGAAGTATGTAGAGCCAAAGGGGTTCAATTGAATCCCCTTGGTGGTAAAATTATACTGGGTAAAGAGGGCAGAAACGAATTTTTTAGTTATATATGAGTTGTTGAATCCCTTAACATAAAGGAAGAATTTTTTTATAGTGGCAAAGAGGGTTTAAAAATTGCTTTACGTTGCAGCTTCAAATCCCAAGTGTTACATTCTAGTATTTTTTCTGAATCCCCTTGCATAACTTTTGGAATTACCAGGAAAAAATGAACTTGAAAGGAGACAAAGAAGACAAAAGAAAGGAGTTTTTTTTTATCAAGTAAGATTTGAAAAGCAGAGAGTTATTAAACCTTCCGTATACACATAAAGGCAGTACCCCCAAAAAGTAGAGAATCTACACCATAAAATTTTCTTATATATATTATCAGGGGGGCAGAGGTATGTAGAGCCAAAGGGGTTCAATTGAATCCCCTTGGTCGTAAAATTATACTGGGTAAAGAGGGCAGAAACGATTTTTTTAGTTATATATGAGCTGTTGAATCCCTTAACATAAAGGAAGAATTTTTTATAGTGGCAAAGAGGGTTCAAAAATTGCTTTACGTCTCAAATCCCAAGTGTTACATTCTAGTATTTTTTCTGAATCCCCTTGCATAACTTTTGGAATCTATACCCAGTGTTATCAAAGGCAAAAAGCGCAAAAAACTCTAAGGTCCGTTGGGGCTTTAAGCGCAAAGCGCAAATAAAGTGTGAGCTTTAATGAAAAAAGGCGCAACTGGAGAAAAAGTAAAAATATGCGTAGTAGTCCAAGACTAATCATTATAAGCATGAATAACAAATATATGGACAAAGAAATTGAAAAAAAATTCATGATAAAGTGAAATATCAATTGTTTAAGGTCGCCTTTTCAGGATTACACTCATTGGCAAGGAAAAGTATGCGTTAGAGCATTGATGCGACACTAAAGTGCCCACAAAGCGAGGAGAAGCGCTCAACATGTTTTGAGCCTCGCTTCAGGGCTTAAGCGCGCCTTTGACAACACTGTCTATACCAGGAAAAAATGAACTTGAAAGGAGACAAAGAAGACAAAAGAAAGGAGGTTTTTTTTTTATCAAGTAAGATTCGAAAAGCAGAGAGTTATTAAACCTTCCTTATGGCAATAAACTTATTTTAAGATCTTGTACACCTGCTCCGGTCCTTACGCGGGCGAGGAGATGCTAACAATTGTTCACTATTGAGTCGTGAATTACTTCATTGCGAACTGTTGTAGTTATTGCACTTCTAAGCTATTCGGTATCTACCATTAGCTTCTTCCTTTTTTATAATAGAGAAATCCCAAGCCCTAGTATTGCACGGTTCGAAACTTAGTAGATAATGGACCCGCCCCTCTACCCTTCTCGACTTAAATACCATGTTTTGGCAGCACCAGGGCTTGAACATGACCCACACATTACGCACTGCACTCTTACCACTAGATCAAAGCCCTAGGGGCTACATTCAGCTGTTTAAAAAACATCAATACCACCTTGTAGCCATTACACATTTCTCTTTCTAAAATTATTATTTGTAGAATAGATACATATTTAACTGTCAGCATCACAGAAGTCTTAACGAGAACCATTTCGTTGGCTAGATGATTGTACAAGTATTTATTGTGACACTTCTGCGAACAATTACCAAATGAAATGAAAGTACTTTTTATAAACTCTCAATTAGATCACCAGCAAAATCATCATCAAAGGTCATGTAGATTAGCATCAGGCACTTTAGTTGAAAAGCATGAACCGCTATAGCAAACATATAGTGGATGATGATTCTGTACAAAACCATTGTAGGACTTTTTAATATCAAGTACAACATGAAATGGTATGCTGTTACGACTAATCACTAACTATACAGATCTTAAAACTAAAATATACACACAAATAGAGACAGCTTCTTACAGGATCTGTTTCTATAAGATTGTCAGCTTCCTCGTACTCTCCCATGTCAGGTATGTCTTCCACTTCCTCGCCTCCAACGCACGACGGGTTTGACTGGACAGAGTTCTTTTTGCTAATCTCTAATGCTTCCATAGATGGCAAGTTATCATCCTCAGCACCTTTGTTTTCTAAGAAATAAATGGGACATAATTGTCACAAGGCAAAATGGATAAAACTCAATTTGTTATTGGGAAGTACACATATACCAAATACCTTTTGGTTTCCCATGAGTTGCCAGCCAACCATCATTGTCCTCATTATCAAGCAGAACTTCACCTCCTGCAGCCTCATATTCTTCCTCCACTGATGCAGCTCTTCTTAGACAAGGAACTGCATACAAAGTTAAAGTGGCACGTGATCTAAACTGGCACATAACAGAAGTGCTACATTCTTTTTATTTTTTGGTTTCTGTAAGACGACTAGAGAACGTCTATGAATGATGGAATATCAAAAAGAAGGGCCAAGAAAACTCCAAGATACAGACATCCACCTTTTTTTTTGGCCAGGATGGGGTGCTAAAATTCTTAAGAAGTATGAAAACTATAAATAAATTCTTTACTAATACCTGGAAGAAGGTGATCCCCAAGAAAGATAGTTTCAAATATTGTTTTATCCAAAGCAACAAGGAGATTGACAAGGATGCTATACATCGTATTGGAGCGGGGTGGATGAGATGGAGGCTCGCATCTGGTGTTTTGTGTGATAAGAATGTGCCACCAAAACTTAAGGGCAAGTTCTACAGAGTGGTAGTTAGACCGACTATGTTGTATGGCGCTGAGTGTTGGCCAGTCAAGAAATCTCATGCCCAAAAAAAGAAAGTAGCAAAGATGAGGATGTTGAGATGGATGTGTGGGCATATCAAGAAAGATAAGATTAGGAATAAAGTTATTAGGGACAAGGTGAGAGTGGCCCTTGTGGAGGACAAATTACGAGTATCGAGGTTGAGATGGTTCGGACATGTGATGAGGAGAGACATAGATGCCCCAGTTAGGAGGTATGAAAGGTTGACCATGTCGGGCCTCAGGAAGGGTAAAGGTACGCTAAAGAAGTATTGGACAAAGGTGATTAGGCAAGATATGGCATTGCTTCAACTTACTAAGAACATGACTCTCAATAGAAAGGTGTGGAGGTCGAGAATTAAAGTTGAAGGTCAATAGGTAGATGAGAGTTTCTCCTAGTCTTACCACTAGTATTAGTAATATTCTTATATTTTCTTGTTCCTAGATCTTTTTTATTACACGTTGTGTCATTCTTACCAGTAGTATTAGTACTATTCTTGTATTTCTTATTTCTAGATCTTTGTTATTATACGTTGTGTCTTTGTTTTTTCTTGTTGTTGTTATTGTCGGTTGCTTCCTTTCTGTTGTTCCTTGAGCCGAGGGTCTATCGAAAACAGCATCTCTACCTTCACAAGGTAGGGGTAAGGTCTGCGTACATATTACTCTCCCCTGACCCCACTTGTGGGATTACACTGGGTTTGTTGTTGTTGGTGTTACCTAGGAGAAGGTGAGTGAGCAAGGTAGGAACACAATATAGCATTAGGCGACAGGAACATCCTTAGCAAGATGCTTAAGCTGATATAATTGGAGCAAATTGAAACACATATTCAGTGCATAATGTCTTAGGCAATACAGTTCTTAGTCTTGCTTCCTAACCCCATTGTTACTTCCCAGGGCCATCAGGAGCTTTGTTGAAACACAAAGATGCTGAGCAAAACATGAGTTGGGAGATGAAGTTACTAGTCTAGTTTCCTTACCTCATGACTACTTTCCATAAGCGTCAAGTTTTGTCCGTCCTATAAGATTATTAAACCTCCCTTTCCCTGTAGGTTCTTGAAATTGCATAAAAAGGTTTAACAAGTTAGTATTACAAATTATCAGTTCTGGATTCTGATGAAGGAGAATCTACATTTACATTCCCAGAAGTCAATGGATACATTGTGTTAAAACTAGCAATATGCAACAAACTTACTTCCTAGTTTTTTGGTTCATTTGAGCAGTGGCGGATATAGAGCATAGTTACTGAGTTCCCGGGAACCAAGTAACTTTTGCATAGACCTTGTATTTTTATTTAAAAAATCATTAAATATTAATAAATATATAAATGTGAACCCAGTTATTATTGTATATTAATTTGATATTACAATAGGAACCCATAAACTTCCAATTCTGGATCCGCCCCTGCATCTGAGAGGATTAGAATTTAGCTTAAAGTTAAGTCGGGTTTATTCTAATAAGAAGTGTAAACTCATCACTAATTAAGTGTAAAGAATGAATTCATCATGCACTAGCTAGCTCATATTTTCTCCAAACACTTGAAATTCTATGAAAACTATTGTTAGAATGATGGTTATAGATAGGTACCATTTCTTGTGATCAAGAATTGCTTGTCAGCTGGTAAATATGACTTCATTTTACTAGGGTCACCTGACTCCCTGTTAATGAACAATGAACCATGATATAAGAATTAGATGCAATATAATGAGCTCATACAAATTACAAATACTTTCAAATTAGATCTAATGTCATAGACTATTTGAGCAAGAATTGGCAAAAAGGGTATATGTGCAAAATTGATTACCAAGACCAGGTAGGGCATTTGGAGACAAGATTATCGCCAGCAATAACGAACTCGTTAACGCTGAGAACGCCCTTCTCTTTGAAAGCAGAGACGGTACGAGGACTTGTGATTCTCTCTACCGTCCCTTTGAACGCTCCGTGCAGCTGCGATAGCACCATTATACCGTTTTGGATTATATGAGCAATTGACTGAGAGTCCGAAATTGTGAGAATCCAAGTCGAAGGCTTTCGTCTATGGTACTCTTTCGGGAGTTGAAGACAGGGTGTTTCGCCTTCTCGATGTTCTCTTTGGAGACTAATTTGATGATTTACTTGTGACGTGGTTTCTTATGTATGCTGTACTTTGAAGTTCATCTCAATTTCAATTACTTTAACTTTAATACGACACGAATTAATCTTAATTCGAATTTAGTTAAGCTCTTGAGAGTTTTTCTTCTTCTTTTTAAATAAAAAATAACTTAATTTTTATCTAAAGCAAAACAAATCCAATTATCTCAATTTCTTAATAAATATACAAATCAAACCAAATAGAACCGATATTTTGTTTTAATTTTGTCATTTTTTAAATTTTTCTTTCACGTGAAATATAATTTCATTCCGTTCAATATACTAGAACTAAATACATAATCTTTAATATATTGATATATGTTTAATAATGATGAACAAATTGATTAATCTATCATTGATTGAATTATCTACATGCGAAAAGTATAATTGTGAGACATGACTTATTCGCTTTCATAAATCAAACAATCACCTTATATCCCATGTAACTCAAACGTGTCTAACTTTAATAAGTAGAACAATAGTCATTCCTACATAATTAAAGCATCAAAAATAAGTCCACACAATTTTCTAATTGCTAAAAATATTACGAATATTTTTGTAACAAAATGTTTATGATCGATTTGGTTTGATTTTTTCTAATATATCAAACCAAATCAAATATTATAAGTTGTTTAAGTTGAAACCAAACCGAATCAAGTTATGTTGGATTTTTGTATCGATGGATTTGGCATTTATTCTGATTAGACTTTTCAAATTTTCTTGAAAACCTCTCCAGCAATGTATACGGTCGTAATCGGGTTCATCTATTGCATGACATATCGGGATTAAAACGTAATGAATTGGAGATCGACCCTGGGTTCTATCGAACCAGGGTACGAGGTTAGAACACCCGTCTTCGAGATTACCGATTTCATGACCCCGGATCGACCCCGACTCCAAATGAGCTCGAGGAAACATTGTCGTACCAAATAACGGAAGGCCGAAATATCCGTAATCGGTAGGATATCATGGCGGGAATCTTGGCATATAACAATGAGAAACTGGTTAATGAGCAAATCATATGATCTTTTACCTTTTATAGAATTGTACCTAAAGTAGGATTCCCCTATTATGTAAAGGAGGTTTGATTATTTGTAAAAAACATTGTAACACGCATCCTAAAGCATTATAATATCATTTTCGTTCTGCAAGCTGCTGTTCTTCTGTATCAAATATCATTTGCACCGTATTCAGTTCGAGCGAGACCTACTTTCAGGGCTATAACTGTTCAAGTCATACGGTTTGAATTTAATTTATCATTGTTCGCTTTATTTATAACTCAATTTATTGTTTTGTGTCAAATTAATCCACGTATCCTTAAAATCACTTATAAATTCAATTGTTATCCGATTTTGAGGGTAAACTGTTTGGCGTCTACAGTGGGGCTAAGGATAATAGTGATTATTTGATATAAATTTTCATAACACACACCATTTCACACTTGTTCTTTGAAGTGTCTCTGATTTCAAGCTTAAGCTTAAAATGTCAAACTCACAATGAGCACATCTACATGCTGACAATGAGTCTGGTTACCACGGTGAAAATAATAACATAGCGCCCGGTAACGAGGTACCGCATGTTGATCCCATCGGAATTCCAATTGTGGACCCGTTGGACGCTAATTCACATGTGGCTATCGAAGCATGCCTCTCCTACTGACCCCGAGAATAGCATATGTGGTGGAGCCCGGTCGGCAGCACAAAATACCCAAAATAATGGAGGATACGAGATCAATCTATGGATGATCTTCGAAATGTTACAGGCTCAACAGGCGGTGATAGCTCAGTTACAAAACCAGAGACGCGCACCAAGCATAATCGAACCTGATCCGTCTCGAGAGATCACCTGTAGGGAGGAACTGATTGCGGAGAGATCGAGTGGAAACGAGTCGGGTAATACCCCCGAGATCATAAAAATATTCAAGGAGGTGACAAAACGAATAAAATCAGGGAAGAAGAAAATCGAAGCAAATGAGAAAAAGGTGGAAACCTACAATTCTAGGGTCAACCAGATCCCGGGAGCACCGTCGATACTGAAAGGCTTGGATTCCAAGAAGTTTGTACAGAAACTTTTCCCTACGAGTGCAGCTCCAAAGCTGATCTTTAAAAAATTCCGCATGCCCGAATTCCTAAGTACAACGAAATGACTGACCCAAACGAGCATGTCACTTCATACACATGCGCCATCAAAGAAAATGACTTGGAGGATGATGAGATCGAGTCTATCCTGCTGAAGAAATTCGGAGAAACCTTGCTAAAGGGAGCTATGATATGGTATCACAACTTACCCCTTAATTCTATTGACTCATTTGTTATGCTTGTAGACTCTTTTGTGAAAGCACACGCTGGGGCTATCAAGGTCGAACTAGGAAGTCAGACCTCTTTAAAGTAAGGCAAAAGGATAATGAAATGCTCAGAGAGTTCGTGTCTCGGTTTCAAATGGAAAGGCTGGACCTGCCACCGGTTGGTGATGATTATGCCGTTCAAGCTTTTACCCAAAGGCTCAATGTTCGAAGTTTGGTGGCTTCACAGCAATTGAAGCAGAATCTAATATAATATCCATCCATCACCTGGGCTGATGTGCATAACCGGTATCAGTCGAAGATTAGAGCCGAAGATGATCAACTGGGGCTCCTTTCGGGTTTGTTTATCCTGTTAGACCCATCGACAAAGTCAAGAGAGATATCGATCGTGAACCAAGGCCGAACAGGGATCAGTATCAGTCGTACAATGAGGATCGAATAAGTAGTGGGTTTGGACAGAGTTCTATGTGAAATGAAAGGAGAAATGACCAAGGCTAGAGCAGTCGAGGACTCATGAGCAAGAATAGTTTCGATAGGCCTATTGAACCTATAGAAGAACCAAGGTTATCAGAATATAACTTTAATATTGATGATGATGCCATTGTATCGGCTATCGGACACATCAAAGATACCAAATGGCCTCGACCTTTACACTCCGACCCAGCCCAAAGGGATCTAAATCAGATGTGTAAATATCATGGCACTCACAACCACAGAACAGAGGACTATCGACAATTGAGGGAGGAGGTAGCCCGGTTATTCAACAACGAGCATCTTCGAGAATTCCTAAGTGACCGAGCCAAGAATCATTTCAGAAATAGGGACTCTAATAAATAAACCGAGCAAGAAGAACCTCAACACGCCATTCAAATGATCATCGGAGGGGTCGATGTTCCTCAAGGTCCGATGTTAAAGCACACTAAAGTATCCATCACAAGGGAAAAACAGACTCTAGATGACATACCAAAAGGAACTTGTCTTTCAGCGATAAGGACGCAGAAGGAATCGTGCAGCCCTACAACGATGCACTGGAAATATCTGTAATCGTGAATAAATCTCGAGTTAAATGTGTGTTAATTGATCTAGGTAGCTCGGCCAATATCATTCGATCGAGGGTCGTAGAACAACTCGGCCTACAAGACCAAATCGTGCCTGCAACCCGAGTTCTGAACGGATTCAACATGGCATGTGAAACTACTAAGGGAGAAATAACGTTACAAGTAAACGCTGGGGAACCATCCAGAAAACCAAGTTTTATGTGATTGAAGGGGATATGAGGTACAATGCCCTATTCGGGAGTCCATGGATCCACAACATGAGGGTAGTGCCCTCGACTCTTCACCAAGTGTTAAAATTCCCAACACTATGAGGGGTTAAAACGATCTACGGGGAGCAACCGACCGCAAAGGAAATATTTGCAGTCGAAGAAGTGATTCCGGTATCAACACTGGCAACATCAAAGAAGCCGAGTTTGGATACAAAGCAGGAAGCTAAATAGCAATTATCGACACCAGCCATGACCCAATCGAATAAACAGGGGACCGATGAAGATGATGATTGTGGGGTTCCCAGATCTTCTGTAGTCCCCGATGATTCCGATGCTACAAAATCAACGGTCGAAGACCTGGAACAAGTCACATTGATCGAACATCTACCCGATCGGAAGGTATACCTGGCCACGGGGTTAACCCTCGAGCTCAGGAAAAAACTCATTCAATTTCTTGTAGCTAACATAGATTGTTTCGCTTGGTCCCATCTTGATATGACAGGAATCCCGTCAGAGATTACCACTTACAGGCTAAGCCTGAACCCGAAATTCCACTCTGTCAAATAGAAGAGGAGACCCCAGTCTGAGATCAAACATGTTTTCATCAAGAACGAGGTAACTAAACTCCTTAAAATATGATCTATTCGGGAAGTTAAATACCCGAAATAGTTAGGAAACGTAGTGGTAGTCCCTAAAAAGAGAACAAACTGAGAATATGTGTAGATTATAAGGATATAAATAGTGCATGTCCCAAGGACTCTTTTCCTTTGCCCAATATCGATCGCGTGATCGATGCCATGGCCGGCCACGAGATCCTCAATTTTCTCGGTGCCTACTCCGGGTACAACCAAATAAGAATGAACTGGGATGATTAGGAAAAAACCTCGTTCATCACTAAGTGTGGAACATACTACTATAACGTGATGCCATTTGGGTTAAAAAAATGCAGGTGCCACTTACCAACGCCTAATAAACTGGATGTTCGAAGAACAAATAGGGAAATTCATGGAAGTTTACATTGACGATATGTTTTTTAAGTCCCTGCGAGCAGAGATCCATTTAAAGCATTTGCAGGAAACATTCAGTATATTGGAGAAGTACAACATGAAGCTGAATCCGAAAAAATGTGCATCCGGAGTCGGATCAGGCAAATTTCTCGGGTTCATGGTATCCAACTGAGGAATCGAGATCAACCCCGACAAGATCAAAGCTATCAAAGATATCACGGTAGTGGACAATGTGAAGGCCGTACAAAGGCTAATCGGGCACATTGCCGCCCTAGGGCGATTCATCTCGAGGTCCTCCGATAAGAGCCACCAATTTTTCTCGTTACTAAATAAAAAAACAATTTCTCATGAACCTTGAAATGCCAACAGGCCTTGGATGAACTCAAGCGATATCTATCGAGCCCGCCACTACTTC